CCCCCCACCTCACCGCTCATGTCCTCACCCCCTTAGTGTCTGTGTCCATTGGTTATGCTTATATGCATGCATACAAGTCCTTTGGTTGATCTCTCCCTTCCCCCAACCCTCCCCTGCCTTCCCTCTGAGGTTTGACGGTCTAATCCAATGGTTCTCAACCTTCCTAATGCCGTGACCCTTTAATACAGCTCCTCGTGTTGTGGTGACCCCAACCATAAAATTATTTTCGTTGCTACTTCATAACTTTTGCTACTATAATTTTGCTACTGTTAGGAATCATAATGTAAATATCTGACATGCAGGATGTATTTTCATTGTTCGCAACCCACAAGTTGAGAACTGCTGGATGCTTCTCTATCTTTGGATCTGTTTTTGTTCATTATGTTGTTCATTATTTTCCACAAATAAGTGAGATCATGTGATATTTATCTTTCTCTGACTGACATATTTCGCTAATGCTTTCCAGGTTCATCCACGCTGTTGCAAATGATAGGAGCATAGTATCCCATTGCATAGATGTACCACAGTTTTTACAGCAGCATAGTATCCCATTGCATAGATGTACCACAGTTTTTTAATGCACTCATCTGCTGATGGGCATTTAGGCTGTTTCCAAATCTTAGCTATTGTAAATTGTGCTGATATGAACATAGGGGTGCATATATCCTTTCTGATTGGTGTTTCTGGTTTCTTGGGATATATTACTAGAAGTGGGATCACTGGGTCAAATGGGAGTTCCATTTTTACTTTTTTGAGGAAACTCCATACTGTTCTCCACAGTGGCTGCACCAATCTGCATTCCCACCAGCAGTGCACAAGGGTTCCTTTTTCTCCACATCCTCGCCAGCACTTGTCATTTGTTGATTTGTTGATGATAGCCATTCTGACAGGTGCCTCATTGTCGTTTTGATTTGCATCTCTCAGATGATTAGTGACTTTGAGCATGGTTTCATATGTCTCTTGGCCTTCTATATGTCCTCTTTCGAAAAGTATCTATTTAGATCCTTTGCCCATTTTTTGATTGGATTGTTTATTTTCCTTTTGTTAAGTTGTATGAGTTCCCTGTAAATGTTGGAGATTAAACCCTTATCGGAGATAACATTGGCAAATATGTTCTCCCATGCAGTGAGCTTCTTGATGGTTTCTTTTGCTGTGTAGAAGCTTTTTATTTTGATGTAGTCCCATTTGTTTATTTTCTCTTTAGTTTCCATTGCCCTAGGACAGCGGTTCTCAACCTGTGGGTCGCAACCCCTTTGGGGGTCAAATGACCCTTTCACAGGGGTCGCCTGAGATCATCGGAAAACACATATATGATTACATATTGTTTTTGTGATTAATCACTATGCTTTAATTATTGTCAATTGGTAACAATGAAATTGGGGGTCACCACAACATGAGGAACTGTATTAAAGGGTCGTGGCATTAGGAAGGTTGAGAGCCACTGCCCTAGGAGCTCTATTGGTGAAGATATTGCTTCGGCATATGTCTGAGATTTTGCTGCCTGTGGATTCCTAGATTTTTATGGTTTCCCGTCTTACATTTAAGTCCTTTATCCATTTTGAGTTTATTTTTGTGTATGGTGTATGTTGGTGGTCTAGTTTCATTTTTTTGCAAGTATCTGTGCAATTTTCCCAACACCATTTATTGAAGAGACTGTCTTGACTCCATTGTATGCACTTGCCTCCTTTGTCAAATATTAATTGAGCATAGTGGTTTGGGTTGATTTCTGGGTTCTCTATCCTATTGCATTGGTCTATATGTCTGTTCTTGTGCCAGTGCCAGGCAGTTTTGAGAACAGTGGCTTTGTAATAGAGCTTGACATCTGGTATTGAGATCCCTTCTACTTTGTTCTTCTTTCTCAGGGTTGCTGCAGCTATCGGGGTCTTTTTATATTCCAGATAAATTTTTGGAGAGTTCATTTGATTTGTAATTCTTAATTGCTTCACTTTTCTCACCCACTCCTCCAATCCCCTCCCCTCAGGCAACCATTAGTCTGTTCTCTATCAGTTGTTTCAATTTTGTTTGTTTTGTTTTTTAGATTCCATATATAAGTGAAATCATATGGTATTTATCTTTCTCTGGCTGGCTTATTTCACTGAGCATAATATCCCTCAAAGTCAAGGATTGTGTCAGGGGGTGTTAATTCCGACACATTTGCAGTTTTGAGCACCCACAAATGATCATCAGCTTCTCACAGGTGTCCCAACCACGTCATGTAAAAGCCTTAGTAAAACAATGTGAAACACATGCAGTGCAGCTAAAGTTCAGTTCCGTTGCCTTGTAATCACTAAGGGGGGGGAAGTGGACTGAGAAAATGTGAGACAGGACAGAAGAGGTGATTGATACAAGCAGGTTTTTTAAATTTATCTTCTGAGTAAACACATAAAATATATGTACACAAAATCATTTTTTTAATAGAAAATATTCGATATGCCAGTGTGTTCAGTAACTGTTTAACACACAGTGACACCTATTCAAATACAGAAAACTATTTAAATACAGACATTCACAAGCATCAAGTTTCATCTCTTTAATGCTGTCTAAAAAGAAGTTCCTGTGAAATTCTGTGTTGCTCACCTTCACTCTATTCTGAATTAAAAACCCAGTGTCTGGTGTGCAGCTGTTCACCTGCAGTAACAGCTGTTCATCTGGTGGGACCGTTACCCTAACCCACCACTCTGAGAAGATAAGGCAAACTCAGTATGGAACCTTGCAAGTGAACTATATTGATGTGGGCAGCTTGACTCTGGTGTACTTACCCCATGTATTTTCCCCATATTTAAAGGCAGCCTCACATGAAATCTCTATATTGCACTGTAATCTGAAAGTCTTAATTTCTCCAGTTTTGTTACTCTCCTTTAATCTCCCAATTAAAATATGTATAAGAAATTATACCAAGTAAATTCCTGTAACCAAGGTAATTTCATTATTCTAAAACCACAGTTACATAATTTCTGCTTATTTTATTAAAAGTATATTCAGATGAATCAGTCCTTTTTCATATAAAAAATTATACATGGTAAAAACTAATTGGAAATCAAATATTGATATTTACCTGTAAAGGATTTGCTTTTGAAAATTATCTTTTGTAGCCATTATTTCTACAAAAATGCAATTTTCCCTGATTGGCTTGTATAGATCAAAATATTACTGTATGCAATTGTATCCATTAAGTATTTTATTTTGTTTTGGTTTTGCTGCTATTCATATTTAGTTTAAAGTTTATATAAAGCAAAAATAGTTTAGATCATTGTCCTTTGTCTTAGATTAGTTTATTATATTGCTAATTTGGTTTTCCAGCAAACTTTTCAAATTAACTATACAGGCTCTGAACTGATAAAAGAGCATATAGAATTGTTCTCTGTTATATAGACTATCATGTCCCCTACAAATGAAGATAGTTAAGCTACTTGTTATATATTTGTTTGTTTTGTTGTTTCAATCTTCTTGTTTTATAATCTTTATAACTTTAATTTCTTATTTTGTCATATGAATTCTTAATAAGATTGGAACATTCACTACAATGATTAATACAAATGGTGAGCACAGACAGACGTCCTTGCCTTCTTCCCAGCCTTGGAAGAAAAGCAAAAAAAGTCACCATTTAGTAGGATGTTAGCTGTTGTTTTTAAATTCTCTTTATGAAATTGAGAAGGTGCCCTTTCATTCCTAGTTTATTGGAAGTTTTTGCCTCAAAAAGGTGCTGAATGTTTCAAATGTTTTATTTCTACCTATAGAGATAAATATGGTTATTCTCCTATATTCTGTTACCATGGTGAATTATAATGCTAGATTTTTAAATTTAAAATAAATCTTTCTTATAAACCCACATAGTCACCATATAGTAACCTTTTTATACACTCTTTTTGTTCTTACCTTTTAATGTGGAAGCTTAGATTACTACTGATTTTAAACATTCCTTGTTGTTATTTGATGTAAACATTTGAACTTTGAGGTTTCTCTTGTACATTTTGAAGTATCTCACATAGTTTAATATGTTACATTTTCATTATCATTAGGTTCAAACTATTTTCTAATCTCTTTTGAATCTGATGAGTCAATTTCTTTAGAATTGTGTTGATTACTTTTCATATATTTTCTTGATGTCTTATTATTACTGAGTTCAAATTCAATTCCATTGTGATCAGAGAATATACTCAGTGATTTGAATCCTCTGATTATTTATTGAGACATCTCTATGGTCTAGCACCGTGGTCGGCAAACTGCGGCTTGCGAGCCACATGCGGCTCTTTGGCCCCTTGAGTGAGGCTCTTCCACAAAGTACCATGTGCGGGCGCACACGTACAGTGCGATTGAAACTTCGTGGCTCATGCGCAGAAGTTGGTATTTTGTGGAAGAGCTGGTATTTTGTGGAAGAGCCACACTCAAGGGGCCAAAGAGCCACATGTGGCTCGCGAGCCGTGGTTTGCCGAGCCACAGTTTGCCGACCACTGGTCTAGCATATGGTCTATGATGATAAATGTTTCATGCATGCTGGGATAAAGAAACCATATGTTCAGAATTTATAAGGTGTAATGTTCAATGAGTATATATTGGGTCATATTGGTTATAGTGTTCAAAACTTCTGTCTCATTGATTTTTTTAAATATTTTTTTTTCTGACATTAGAGAGGAAGGGAGAGGGAGAGAAAGAAACATCAACTTTCAAATATACTATACAGCTGTGGGAATTATAACCTTTATGTTGTACATTATATCTCTAGTACTTATTTCTCTTATAAATGTATGTTTGTACCTTTTGTGCACCTTCATCCAAGTCCCCTACCAACCTATTCCCTGGCTCTGATAACTACGAATCTGATCTCTTTTGTATGTTTGGGTTTTTTAAGAATCCACATACAGTATTTGTCTTTCTCTGTCTCACTTTTTTCATTTAGCATAATGCCCTGAAGGTCCATCCATGTTGTGGCAAATGTGGTATATATTATTGTTAAATGATTCTTTTATTAAAATTTCCCTTCCCCCTTTTTCTCATTATAGACAGAGAGTGCATGGGCCGAAGAATATTTTGAAAAGAAGAAAGGGTCTCACAAGCGTTCAGCATCCTGGGGCAGTACAGATCAACTTAAGGAGGTCAGGAAAATGATTCCAAGAAAGTGGGTGTGGCAGCTTGATTCCTTCGTTGGCTAGTTCCTTGAAATTGTGGGCAGCAGAGATTTGTCAGTTTCCATTGTGTGTGGGGTTTGTGTGTTTGTTTTTATCTTAGATCTGTTTACTTGAGAATTAACAACAGAAAAACAGTTATGTTAATTGAATAAAGATTTGAATGGAGAAATGTACACATTACTTATCTGATAGTGTGTTTTTCCTTTTTAAAAAAAGAGCATCTATACCTATTAATATAAATATCAGATATATAAATTTTAGTGATATAACAAATTCACATGTATTATTTCTGTATATTATGGTAGTGATTCTACTATTTAGTAACCCAGTATAACTAAGTTGATTTTGCCCCTGTGCTATGATTACCAGATTACCATTTTCTGTCTACAATTATAACATTTTCATTTTAGATATAATGTAGGAAAAAAGACCAGGAAAATTCAGTCCAGAAATAACATGGGATATTGATTAAAATTTTATTTGGTATTTTTAAAGATTATATCTGTGAGTGCATTTTGTGGCTTGAATTGATATTCAAATAGTTTAATTTTTGGAGCTGTTGAAGGTCACAAGTTTGATAAAGAAATCTAAATAAAATGTGACTTATGAGGGCAATGAGAGAATAAGTATGAATTTTTAATTCTTTGTGAAAGTTGTAATATAATTTATTCTAAATGCTGAAAACTTCACTTGTTTAGTACTTGGAATATCTCTTTATATATGCATGTGTATATACAATAAGATTTTGTGATACAGTTTAAAAATTCAAAACTTTTATTAAGACTGAATTTTTCTGGTTCTTAAGCAAGGATGCTTTATGTAGTATGGGAAACACTCTGATGCATGTGTTATTTTTTCCCTTTGCAGATTGCAAAATTACGCCAGCAATTGCAGAGAAGTAAGCATAGCAGTCGACATCATCGAGATAAAGAAAGACAGTCACCATTCCATGGCAACCATTCAGCCATTAACCAGTGTCAGGTAGGAGCACAGATAACACAAAATGCAGACGAGATTTTTTATTTTGCAGGTGATTTGTTATTTTATAGGTGACTGTGGGACAAAATAGCCAAAAGCACATTTGAAACTGATTAATACTGAATCATAACCTTCATAAAAATAAACTGAAAAAAAGAAACCAGAATATTAAATTGACAAAATGATATTTTCCTTTGGTGATCTGTGATATGACTTCTAAGAGACATAGCTAATTTTTCATATTTTGACTTACCGTACTTTTGTATCTATCAATTTAGTATGTTGGAGGCAGAATAATAGAGATATGCACTGGCTGTGGAATCAGACCTTGGACAGGTAACCTGCTCTAAGTCTCGGTTTCCTCATCTGAGGATTGAGGATAATAATGATACCTGTCTCATAAAGTCATTTACTAGGGGAAAACGTTTAGCTGCTCTGGTTCCTTAATAGAATCCTATAAACTACTCTTGATGGCTCGCACCGGGAACATTTCTCTTTAACTGAATTGAAATTGGATGGGGTCCTTAGGCAAGGAGAAACAAGAAAAAGTTTGCCAACACCTTTTCTAGGTTGATACCTTCTGATGATTGTCAAGTATATTCGGATTGTTTTCAAGAGAAAGTATAGGTAGAGGTATATATTTTTTCAAACTAATTTTGTCCTAAAATATTGGTACATGGGTCAAATTTGATTTCATAAATTTAAAGTTTGGTTGTAATTTCCAACAGCTCGGCAGGGCAGGGTGATGGAGTCATGAGGGTGGGGCTAGTGCATTTATCCAGGCTGATGCAGTATGGAGGGGAGTGCTTGACCCAGGGAAGATGTCATCTGTGAGTGTTGTCTGAGAGGAACTTGGCATAGAAGCCCTGGCAGCGGTCCCTTCAGCTCTTTCCCTGGAGCCTCACACCCTGTTTGTCCTCCCACATCTCCAGTTTGCTCTGATCTTCGCTCTCTCTGCTGGAGCCCAGACTAAGTGGCCACGAATGAGATTTTGTGTGCTGTTCCTTTAAGAGGGCACCTGGGTTTTGAGCAAAGCAGACAGAATCCCCATTAATTTTCACCGCCAGATGTTATATGGGCTCATCTACCCACATGCACATGCGTTTGAGACCCCTTGCTCCTCAGGGGGTAACTTTTGCAGCTGAGATGTCCCTCCAGATTCCCACCTGCTGTACATGGATGTGGGGCCAGCCCTTTTCATGTCTCTGCCCTTGCTACCAGTCTCAAAGTGGCTTCTTCTATAAATCCTTGGTTACAAGACTTCTGCTCAGCTAGTCTTCAGTTGGCTATTCAGGTGGAGTGTTCTGTAATTTAGTTGTAATTCCAATTTGGACCTGGGAGGAGGGTGAGTGTAACTTCCACCTACTCTGCCTCTTGTATTTTTATTTTAGCCATTCGAATAGATGTGTAGTGGTATTGTACTTGATACAAATTTGCACTGTCACATTTTTCTAAGACTATTTGCTATATGTAAATCCTCTTTAATGAATGTATGTTCAAGTTTTTTGCCCATATTTAAATTGGGCTGTTTGTTTTATTATATATTTGAGAGATCGTTATATATTTTGGATACAAGTCCTTTGTTGGCTTTGCGAATTCCAAATATTTTCTCCCAGTCTGAATTAGTTTTTCATTCTCTTAACAGGGTCTTTCACAGAGAAAAAATTATTTTCAAATAATTTTGAAGAAGTCCAGTGTATCATTCCCCCCACCTTAGCTTTATAGCAATATAATTGATATTTAACATTGTGCATTTAAGCTATTCATTTTGATGACTTGATATATGTATAATATTGTAAAAATATTACCACAATAAAGTTAGTTAAGACATCCATCATTTCACATAGTTACCTTTTTATTTCTTTTCTGGTGAGAACTTTTAAGATCTGTCTCAGCAAGTTCCAAGTATACAATACATTATTAACTGTCATCACCATGCTGTACATTAGATCCCCAAAGCATATTCATCTTATAACTAGAAGTTTGTATTCTTTGACCACGTTCACCCATTTCTCCTACCTATCTGTTCCTGGCAACCATCCATCTTCTCCTGTTTCTATGAGGTGGGTTTTTTTTTTGTTTTTTTTTTAAGATTCCACATATAAGTAACATCACACAGTATTTGTCTTTCTCCGACTTATTTCACTTAACCTAATGTCCTCTAGGTTCATCCATGTTGTTGCAATTGGCAGGATTTCCTCTGTCATGGCTGAATAATATTTCATTGTTTGTGTGTATAATCCTATTTTTTATCCATTTATTTGTTAGTGGACACTTAGGTTGTTAACATGTCTTGGCTCTCAGAAATATTGCTGCAGTGAACACGAAGTGCAGATACTGTGAGGAGTAAAAAATGTTTTTGCCGATTAATTTAGCAGTATGAATCAAAGTCCTGAAAATCTTTCCTGTACATTGAGTCAGTAGTCCCTCCGGCTCAAGAATTTATCCTAAGGAAATATTTATATTTGTATGCAATATTTATTTAAGAGGATGTTCATAGTGGCATTTTTTTTTGAGTAGTGAAAAATTGGAAACTATTTGTCCAATAGCAAAGCATTTATTTCTTAATATATTTATTTATACAACAAAATACCATTCAGCTATGAATGTTATTTGGTAAATAATAATTTTAAAGCATAGAAAGATGTTAGAGATAGAGGAAATTAAAAAAAAATAACACGTTACAATCCTGAGGGGGTGTGGTCCCCCTATTACGTGAGGAAAGTGGGACGCAGGCCCAGCAGTAG